ATGATAATCATAAAAATGATTTTCTTGCTACTGTCTTCACCCTTTCCCTTTTTCTTTTGAAATTTCCAATTATTTCTAAAACCTCTCTCTTTTTTACAAGAAGAACTAGATCCTCGAACTATTCATTACTCATATTTTCACTTGTAGTTCATTTTTCAATTACCGATTTTAAAGCAATTTAGCTTTTAGAAGGCTCATTAGATTCTTCTTTGCCTTTCCTCGTTTTCTTCTTAGTTTTGGCGTTGTTGAGTTTATAAGTCATCAAAGTATCATAAAGTTCTTCCAATGGATAGAGTTTATATCTTTGGTATTTTATAACATTCTTAATGTGCTTCAATCTTCCGATGGTGACCTATGTATTTTACTTACAAGCTCATCACTAATAAATTTACGATCAAAACCTTTAAAGCCATTAACAATATCGATGAAGTGAGTAATCATATCAACAATATTTTTCATTTTTTCTCAAGAAGAAGTTCTCAAATTCTTTAACCAAAAGATTGATCTTGGTTTCCTTAACTTTACTATTACGAATATGAGTAACTTCTAATACGTGCCAAATATCATATGCGAAATCACACATGCCAATACGATTAAATTAATTTATATCTAAAGTACAATAAAGTTTATTTTTTGCTCTAACATTTAAAGATAATTTTCTTTTATCATCTTCATCATACTCCTCTCTAAGTTTTGGAATGATTTGATCGGGTTTGCCATCAACTTTAATGATCTTTGTAGGCACATAAGGACCATATTCATTAACTTTCCAAATATTATAATCTATTGATTGAACGTAAATCATCATCCTAATTTTTCGATAATTATAATGCGTGCCATCAAAAAAGAGATGACAATTTGTAGAATGCACCTTAAGATTTTGAAGATAGTGGTTTGCCATTGCTCAATATTGAGAAATTTTTAATTTTAAAAGTGAGCACCAAGTTTTGATACTAATTGAAAGTCCAAGAATAACTAACCAAGATGGGTGAATTAGTTTTTCAAAAAAAATTTTTAAAAGAATTATTTCAAAATACGCCAAAGTTTGGAATAAATATATCAATTAAACACAGTGTACAAAAATGAAAGGGATAAATAAAAAGGGAAGAAAATATGTAAATGATGTAATTGTGGAGGTTCATCCAAATCGATGATCTACGTCCTTCTTTACTGAGCCCTCCATCACAAGCAATGCATTTTCATTAATTTTGATTGACTTATGGTGCATCCAAACCCACACAATTCTTCCGGTGATTTAAAAGCAAGAAGCACTGGTTCTTATATAATATTGAATTTTTTGGGACCTCAATATGACCTACAAATTTTGAGAGGAATAATTCAACAAATTTGACAATTTTCTCTAAATAAATGATATAAACAAATTGGGTGTTAAGAGAGGATGAGGCCAACACTTTAATGAATAACGATGAATGAAGTTCAAGTGTAAGGTGGGAAAAACTTTGATAAAAATTATGTTTTTCAAAAGTTCACTCAATCAAAAGTTTTTCAACGTAAATGATTTAATAAAGATACATAAGATGTATGATCAATATAATTTTGTTCAAGAATATTTCACTTAAATGCTGTCGAATATATACATATATATATATATATACTGTAAAGTGGGATGGTATTTATAGAGTTCAAAATGCCAAAAGTTTTGAGTAATCGGACAAGCAATTGGTTGTCCCCATTCTGAACCGGACAATCAAGGTAGCCGTTTATGTTAGAATTTAAAACGGTTTAAGAAATGGCCGTATGGCGAGCCAGATGTCTACATCGACAGAATCTCCTCCAATTTTTCCTTCTTGAATGTTTTGAAAAATGTGTGCTTTTGAAGGGCTTTTCCATTTTATTTTTTAAGATAAGTAATAACACAAATTTGTTCTATGTTTGTATATCAAATTGAAATACTTATTTTTTGAAGAATAATTTTATGCAAGTGTTTTTATGTAATAACTTTTCATGCATAAAAATTTATTTGTTGAGCTTTTGATAATTCATTGTTAAAGATTGAAGCATTGTACATTTACAAGTGAAAATCTCTAATCTAATATCTTCGATATTTGACTATTAAAGTTATTTGTTTCGAATGACTTGTCTTGAATGCTTGGTTCCCATCTTGATTTTTTATCGAACGTCCGATCCGAGTCTTTGATAGTGACCTTGTTGTCCTTGATCGTTAGAGATAAAATTAACTTATTTGTTATGATCAAAACATTAATGGTGAGGTCAACATAAGTCAAGACTACTCTCTTTCAAGTTTATCAAAAGCCTGTGATCCAACAAATAGGGGAAGAAAATTGAATGAACGTGTGAATGTACCTAAAGCAAAGCAAGTACAAATAACGTTGACTGAACCCAAGACCTTAGAAGCATGTTTGGAAGTTGTTTATAAATTATTTAAATTATAGACGAATAAAAAAGGTGACAAATAATTTCGAATTGCAAAAAAGGTATGGAGTAAAAGTAAATTTATGGTTATAATTACATACTAGTTGCAATTAGAAATGTCATAATCACAAATTACAAAGTTTACAATTTCTTAATCGATCACTAATTGTCAAATTAATAGGTCTCATATTATTTCCCGATTACAAATCTTATAGGTAATAATTTATTTTACGGTCACAAATTATGAAATTAATTGATCACATATTATTTTTTGATCATAGAACAAAAATTTTATAGGTCACAATTTATCAAATTAATTGGTTACGTATTATTTTTCAGTCACAGATTGCAAATTGACAAGTCATATAACTTATTTTACGGTTACAAATTATCAAATTAATTGGTCACATATTATTTCTCAATCACAGATCACACATTTTAGAAGTCACAACTTATTTCTCGGTCATAAATTACCAAATTAATTGGTTACAATTTAACAAATTGTGAGTCACGATTACAAATTTAGTTACAATCTCAAATTTTTTAGGTCACATCATATCTATTTTATTGATCACAAATCAATGAATTTTTTAATCACAATCATTCAAATAATTGGTCACAAACATTTTTTTACCCCATCCCATCCCATTCTAAAACCAAAACACAACCCACTATCGACACTACTAGATCCATCACCATTGCCACCTCACCACTCCTCATCACAGCCTGCACCACCACCACCTTTTTTCCATGCTCCACTAGCAACCAAAAATAAAATAAAATGCTATACACAAATATCACAACAAACAGAACAGATCGACATCACAACCTATCACCACCGCCTACACATTCAAACTGGCCCAAAACTAACCTGGTACAAACTTTAAAAAAGATTGCCACTAAAACCCAACTTCACTAATCATCCACCGCCACGGTAACAACCCCCTCGTTGGAAAAAACCAGTTGCAACCATGACTTGCAAACAGGGGCGGATCCCAAGACTGGGCTACTATGGCGAAAAAATTTTTTTTACATATAAAAAATTGGTTTTTTATAATAAAAAAAGCTATTAGGCCTGAGAGGAGGGGGGCCTACAGCCTAACCCAGGCCCTCTAAATCCGCCTCTACTTGCAAACTCACCACTCCAAAGCTTGCAACCCACTATTGTAGCGTCCAAATCTAGGCGTTATGATGGCCCTTCCACAACAACACCATAAAGATTTGGCCCAAATAAAAAAAATGCAATTGAAACTCTAAACCTATTCTCCCAATACCTCTATGATAACAACGTCGTCGAAACATGACCTATAACCACGACAACAAAGGTGCCAATGCAGTGCCTGCAATTTGCTACAATTGCAACCAAACCCAACATCACCACCTCACCATCGCGTGTACACCATAGCTACGAGGGCCACTGCATAGTGACACAATCTGCGATATTATGGTGTCACTTCGAACGCTCGACGATCACAGCCCGCTTTGCATTGCGAAGACATGCGACGCTATGAGATTAGACCAACGATATATGGAGTATGGAGGGGAGGGGAAAATGTTTTAGCGTTTGAATTTGGGTGGGAGGTGAGGGTTTTAGTGGGTGGTAGGGTTGTAGATTTATTTAATTTTGTAATATTATTATTAATATTTAAAAAATGTATTATAATTTGATTTTTGTATAAATTACTCTAAACTCGGTTTTGAAACTTGAACTTGAAAAACATGGTTGACTGTAATTTTCACATTATAAAATTCAAATTGGACAGGCCAAATTAGCCCTCGTTTGGCTCCCATTTTGTAGAAATGAAAATTGGTGGAATAATTTTATTTTTTTTAAAATGAGTGGTTGAAAAAGAAGGAAAATTTTTTAGTTTACGTGTAATATTATTTTATGGAAGATTGTGAGATTGAAATTAAGAGGGAGAAAAATAAAATGTACTGAATGAAAATTAATGTGGGTCAAACTGGGGTTTAACTGAAAATGGGCAAGGGAGTGTCCCAATAATCTGCAGCCCAAGTGCCCAACTATTTACCAAGCAGGTAATCACACTCAATTATTATACAATAATCTAAAAGCATAGTAATAATCTAAAAGCATAGATGGTCTAAACACGTAAATGTCTATGGAAGTTTGATAAGTATGGTATTAAATAACTATTTTGTCTTTAGTCTTTAGACGTGTTTTGATAGATTATCAATACATTTTCGAAAGAAACTTTTATCATAGTTTGTTTATTTGTCAACTATTTAAGAAATAATTTATTCAATTAAAATAATCTTTTGAAGTTTATCCAAACACGTTTTTATCTCCTGTACTTGGCACTCACCGGCATAAATAATACCGCCTTAACATTTTTCTTAGCCCCCCGTTTGGCCCCATTTCGTGGAAATGAAAATTGGTGTAAAAGTATTTTTTTGAAAAATGAGTGGTTAATAAAGAATTTTTTTTTATTTACATATAATATTATTTTATAAAAGATTGTATTGTTAAAAATAAAAATGAGAAAAATAGAATGAAATTTAATAGAACCAAACCGGGTTTAATTTCTCCCCTCTACATTTTCTCCTATATATATACAGCCGTACCTAAAAACAAAAAAATAAAGTAACAAAAAAGGAATATAAAGAGAATAATCAGTCACCGCACGCCATAGCAATTGCTTCGGATTTTAATATTTCCTCAGAATTATTTCTGTTTTGTTGCCCTTTGTTAGTAATTAGATTTTTCTATAAGTAATTACTGTCGATTCAGTTAAATTTTTGCACAATTTGATTAAAATTTACTATTGATTCATCTGTAAAGGTTTTTTTTTTTGTTAAATTAAGGTTTGTGATTGTGTTCTCTTCCTGCTGAATCGATAAAGATTCGGTTTTTTTAGCTTTTGGGAATTAGGGGTTTTCGTTAATATTTGTTTCTAGAGCCATATGGTAAAAATTTGGGGATCGAAGGAAGGTCTGATCGCCGATTAGTCGGCGAGTGGATTAATCGGTCCTGAAGGGTTTTTGTATGGAAACTCGGAGTCGGAAACGGGGGGAGGCAAACACCTCAGCGGCGCCTTCTTCTTCTTCCTCTGGTCCGACCACCCGTGCCATCAAGCGTGCTCGTCTTTCTGCCTCTAACGCCGCCACCGCCTCTTCCTCCACGACCTCATCGATATCCATTCGTACTCGTGCTGTGACTCGATCCAAAGATTCAGTAGTTTCATCCACTCTAATGGACACAACTCCCGAAGCCTCTGCTATCTCTGCTTCAACATCCCGTGGTCGCCGTGGTAAAAACCCTCGTAATCAAAATTCTGATAACAAAGATAACACCAATTCGAATAAAGGCAAGGAGAAAGAGCATGAAAGTAGGGTTAGGGATAGAGATAGAGATAGAGATAGAGATAGAGATAGAGAAATTGAAAGGAGCTCAGGGCTGAACATTGATTCCAATGGCGGTGACGATGATGATAATGACAGCGAGGGAGGTGTTGGGATCTTCCACCAGAATTTGACTTCAGCAAGCAGTGCCCTTCAGGGGCTTTTGAGAAAACTGGGTACCGGATTAGATGATCTGCTCCCTAGCTCTGCAATGGGGTCTGCCTCATCCTCCCACCAGAGTGGACGGCTGAAGAAGATTTTGTCTGGTTTGAGGGCAGATGGCGAGGAAGGAAAGCAAGTGGAAGCTTTAACGCAGTTATGTGACATGCTTTCCATAGGAACTGAGGACTCGCTGAGTTCTTTCTCAGTGGACTCTTTTGCTCCAGTGCTTGTTGGGTTGCTTAATCACGAAAGTAATCCTGATATAATGCTTCTCGCAGCAAGGGCATTGACTCATTTGGTTGATGTGCTGCCTTCCTCTTGTGCTGCCGTGGTGCATTATGGTGCAGTAACATGCTTTGTTGCTCGACTGCTTACTATTGAGTACATGGACTTGGCTGAACAGGTGAAAATATTAATGGTTTTGGTACTTGCACTGGGTAGTTTTGGATGTAGTTGATGATTACTAGATAAGATTTGGTAGTTTGTATGGTTGTGATTAGTATTTTTTTCCTAACCACGTGCTCACACATTTACTAATTGAAAATTATTGATTTAAATGTTGAACCGTAACATTATCACTTGATTGTGATGCAACAGTCATTGCAAGCCCTGAAAAAGATCTCTCAGGAGCATCCAACTGCATGCTTGCGAGCAGGTGCGCTTATGGCCGTGCTTTCGTATCTGGACTTCTTCTCTACAGGAGTTCAGGTGAGTTTTATTGGGGAAAATTCCAGTAGTTATGTTGATATTGGTCATATTCTTATTTTCACTGTTTTTAAAGAGTAGCAATTTTCTTCTGTAAGTCAAATGAATGACTCTCCCTTAATATTCTGTTAGAGAGTAGCATTATCGACTGCCGCAAACATGTGCAAAAAATTACCTTCAGATGCATCTGACTTTGTGATGGAAGCTGTTCCGTTGTTGACTAATCTTCTTCAGTATCATGATGCAAAGGTCAGATAATATTTCTGCAGTTTTAAATTGACAAGGAAACTTAACATCTATCAATAGCTTCTTTTTTCTCTTGCTTCCTCTTTGCCTTACCAGCTCGTGCTTGGTTGCATTTATAGGTTTTAGAACACGCATCTATTTGCTTGACCCGGATTGCTGAGGCCTTTGCGGTATTTCCGGAGAAGCTTGATGAACTCTGCAATCATGGACTTGTTACCCAAGCTGCATCCTTAATTTCCACCAGCAATTCTGGAGGGGGTCAAGCTTCACTCAGCACTTCTACATACACGGTGAGTTCAAAGATCAGTTCTCATTTATTTCCAAGTTCAAAGATCAGTTCTCATTTACTGCCTTTTATGGTAAGTGGCTACTTTGTAACCTATTGAGCATACAGGGCTTGATTCGGCTTCTATGCACTTGTGCGAGTGGATCTCCTTTAGGAGCAAAGTCTCTACTACTCCTTGGGATCAGTGGCATTCTTAAAGATATCCTATCAGGATCTGGCCTTGTCTGTAGCATGTTGGTTTCACCTGCCTTGAGTAGACCACCAGAGCAGGTATATGCTATATCTTCACTCATGTTTAACAGTGTGGCCTCAGTTTTCCCAGGTTCATTTGTCCTTAAATCCGTCTAAATAACTGAACTTTGTCTTTAGCTAGTTTCATTTCTCCTCAATTTCTTTCTAGCAGAGATATGCTTATAATTCATTTCAATAATCCATTAGTGGTGTCATCTTCGTGAAAATAATCTTCTACTTGTCGAGAAATTCTAAAATAATGTCTCTGTGGCCAATATGAGCCTTTTCTTGATCTTAATAAGCTAATGAGTTTCCTGATATAACAGATTTTTGAGATTGTGAGTCTGGCAAATGAGCTTCTTCCCCCGCTGCCTCAAGGAACAATATCTCTTCCAGTCAGCAGCAATCTGTTTGTTAAAGGTTCTTTTTCTAAGAAGGGTCCTTTGGGCAGTTCAAACAAACAGGAAGGTTCGAATGGAAACACGCAAGATGTTTCAGCTCGTGAGAAACTGTTGAATGATCAGCCTGAACTGCTGCAGCAGTTTGGAATGGATCTCCTTCCTGTTCTAATCCAGGTTGGATTTTGCAGGAATTAGTTTACCAGTGTTTTTCTGTCCTATATTCTATAAACAATTTTCCATATGCTTGCCATGCAGATTTACGGCTCCAGTGTAAACGGTCCTGTTCGGCACAAGTGTCTTTCAGTTATTGGAAAGCTTATGTATTTCAGCACTGCTGAAATGATTCAGTCTCTGTTAAGTGTCACAAACATATCGAGGTATATGTTTCCTCTAGACTTATATTTGCAGTTTTTCCCCTGTACCGGTTAACAATAGAGAGATCCTTATATTTTGATTATTTTATATAGTTTTTTAGCTGGGGTGCTAGCTTGGAAAGATCCTCAAGTGCTTGTACCTGCTCTCCAAATAGCGGAAATCTTAATGGAAAAGCTTCCCGGTATTTTCTCAAAGATGTTTGTAAGGGAAGGTGTTGTTCATGCTGTGGATTCTTTAATAATAGCTGGATCTAGCAGTACTGCTGCTTTGGAGCCATCATCAGGTGAAAAGTATAATGATTCTATTCCTGGTTCTTCACGTTCTAGGCGGTATCGACGACGTAGTAGTAATTCGAGTTCAGATGTAAATCCTGCTGAAGACGCTAAAAGTTCAGCTCTAGGTGTGGGTTCACCTCCAAACACAAGTGAAATTCCAACTGTCAATTCTAGTCTTCGGGCAACAGTTGGTTCATGTGCAAAAGCTTTCAAAGATAAATACTTCCCATCTGATCTCGAGGCCCATGAAACTGGGGTTACAGATGATCTCCTACGCCTAAAGAATCTTTGCTCAAAGTTGAATGCCGGCATTGATGATAGAAAAACTAAATCAAAGGGGAAATCAAAAGCTTCTGGCTCTCAGCTTTCTGATTATTCTGCTAGTAAGGAGGTAGACTTGGTTGACGTGATGTCCGAGATGTTGCAAGAGCTTAGCAGAGGCGATGGTGTATCGACTTTTGAGTTTATTGGTAGTGGAGCCATTGATTCTTTGCTTAATTACATTACTTGTGGATATTTCTCCAAGGACAGATCCTCTGAAGTCAATTTGCCTAAGCTTCGACAACATGCCATCAGAAGGTGCAGATCTTTTGTAGCTATTGCCCTTCCTTCAGGGGTTGATGAAAAGAATGGAGCTCCCATGAGTGTGTTGGTTCAAAAACTTCAAGATGCTCTATCCTCTTTAGAGCGTTTCCCTGTCGTGCTGAGCCATACGTCTCGATCATCTGGTGGGAATGCACATCTTTCTTCCGGTCTAGGTGCACTTTCTCAGCCATTCAAGCTGCGCCTTTGCAGAGTACAAGGAGAAAAATCTCTCCGTGACTACTCTTCAAATGTTGTGTTGATTGATCCATTAGCAAGTTTAGCTGCTGTTGAAGACTTCCTTTGGCCCCGAGTTCAACGAAGTCAATCTGGGACCACTCCTCCGGCAGCTGATGCACCATCTACTTTAACTCCTGCTGGTCGACGTAATTCAACACGTTCTAGATCATCAGTTCTTTTAGGTAATTCTGCCAAGAAAGATTCACCCCAAGAAAAAAATACAAGCTCGTCAAAGTCCAAGGGAAAAGCTGTTTTGAAGCCTACCCAAGAAGAGGGAAGAGGACCTCAGACTAGAAATGCTGCTCGCAGAAGAGCTGCTCTGGATAAAGATGCCCAAATGAAGCCTGTAGATGCAGACTCTAGTTCTGAGGTATTCTTTACATGCACTGAGCATTTTTATAGAGGGAAGATCTAAATAAGTTTTCTGAAATTAGAACACTTGTTTTACCATGTCTTGGTTATTTTTTTTCTCTAGCAATGTGGCTATTTTACTCTTCCTGGGTAAAAATATGGTTCCCCCTTTCATCACTCCCCTCAACTGAAAACTGAAATAAAATGGAGAAGGAAAGAAATGAGAATAATGTTCAATTTTTTTAGAAATTCATCTGTTAGGGGCAGAGAAGTTCTTTATTTCCACACTTTACTCTCTTTCTTTTCCTTTTCTTCATATTTCACATTCTGTTCTATGTGCTATATGCTTATTTTCTTCATGGAAAATGTTCCTCCGTTTAACAAATTTCTTGGAAGTTGATATTATTTTTCTGCTCTTTTGGATTGCCTCCATCTGATTGACCACTATTACTGCACAACTATAGCTTCCTTGCTCTTCTACATCTTTTCATCAAGCTAGTGTCTTCTGGCTGTTATTTTCCTTGTTCTCTTTGAAATGTTGATAAAAAAATCTTTTTCTTATTTTCTTTGAAATTTCTATCAAAACTCTTTCTAGACTTAGACATTTCTTTATCTGCTATGCAGGATGATGACTTGGATATTTCTCCCGTTGAACTTGATGAAGCATTGGTGATTGAAGATGATGATATATCCGAAGATGATGATGACCATGATGATGTATGCTACTCTAATCCATTGATTGACTTTTGAATTCTTTTATTTTTCGTGTGTGATTTGGTCTTCTTGATGACTTCTAATCAATATTTAACTGATTGGAACCTGCAACAATAGGCAGCATCATTTTTTCTCTTTCCATTGTTTGGAGAGGGGGGTGGCAGGTTGGTTGAGAAATTTTTCTCCTGTGGGGGTGATACCATGTTTTATGTTCTCATTTCAACTAGAGTCTACTGGATATGTTGATAAAATGACGATCTGTAGTTCGATATTCTTATTCATCACAAGAAATATATGTGGAACCAAAAAGCTTCTGATGCTCTGACACGCTATCATCTATGTTCTGAAAATATGCAATTTTTTTCTGGACAAATATATTCTCAGTTCAATATACAGAACCTGCAACAAGGACATGTTGTAAATTGGCCAATATTGATCGGTAGGATGTGGTATTTGCTTTTTTGTGCGCGCTTGTGGTTATGTCTATTTTGATCTCTACTCGTAGGAGTTTTTTTATTATTGTTTTGTGCTACATGTTTGAGCAACGATCTAGAATTAGTTAGTTTACTAACTTCTACCTGAGACAATAGGTGCAGTTGTTGCTTGAAATAGCAAATAACATATGGTACCCGCCCCCTCTCTCGCCCTCTCTAAATTTATGGCTATATGTGGATGAGATACTTTGCTAATAGTATATCTGTCACTGATATCTTTATTGTTGCAGGTACTTAGAGATGATTCTCTTCCCTTTTGTACACCAGATAAAGTGCATGATGTTAAATTGAGCGATGCAGATGATACTGCCGCTGCTACACCCAGTGATGGTCAGAATAATCCGCCTTGTAGTTCTAGCACCAGAGGTACTTCAGGGAGAGAATCGGATTCTGCTGAATTTAGGTCCGGTAGTTCTTTTGGTTCAAGAGGTGCAATGTCATTTGCTGCTGCTGCTATGGCTGGGCTTGCATCTGCTAATAGTAGAGGTGAAAGAGGAGGCAGAGATCGGCAAGGACGATCACTTTTTGGGTCTAGTGATCCGCCAAGACTAATATTTACGGCAGGTGGGAAGCAGCTTAATAAACATATGACCATTTATCAGGCAATCCAACGGCAACTTGTGCTGAATGATGATGATGACGAGAGGTTTGGTGGCAGTGATTTTGTATCGAGCGAAGGAAGTAGGCTGTGGAGCGATATCTACACTATCATGTATCAAAGGGCAGATAGCCAAGCTGATAAGTCGTCTGTTGGGGTTGAGAACTTGGCAACTCCATCCAAGTCTACGAAAGCTAGTTTATCGAGTATATCCAGTTCAGATTCATTGCAGCATCAAGTTTCACTTTTAGATAGCATTTTGCAAGGGGAGCTTCCTTGTGGTCTGGAAAAAAGTAACCCTATATATAATATATTAGCACTATTACGTGTACTGGAGGGGTTGAGTCAGCTTGCACCGCGCTTGCGGGTACAAGGGGCAATTGATAGTTTTGCTGAAGGAAAAATTGCTAGTCTAGATGAACTTAGTCCCATTGGAGTCAAAGTTTCTCCTGAGGAATTCATTAATAGTAAACTTACTCCAAAATTGGCTAGACAGATCCAGGATGCATTAGCACTTTGCAGTGGGTCTCTTCCTTCATGGTGCTACCAGCTGACTAAAGCATGCCCATTTTTGTTTCCCTTTGAAACTCGGCGCCAATACTTCTATTCAACTGCTTTTGGTCTGTCTCGTGCATTACATCGGCTTCAGCAGCAGCAAGGTGCTGATGGTCATGGTTCAACAAATGAAAGGGAGTTAAGGTTTGGGAGATTACAGCGTCAGAAAGTTCGTGTGTCTCGGAATCGAATATTGGATTCTGCTGCAAAAGTTATGGAAATGTATTCCAGTCAAAAAGCTGTTCTCGAGGTTGAATATTTTGGTGAAGTTGGCACTGGATTGGGGCCTACTCTGGAGTTTTACACTCTCTTGAGTCATGACCTACAAAAAGCAGGACTAGAAATGTGGAGGTCGAGTTCGTCATCGGATAGACCTTTGGAAGTAGATGTGGACAGACAGACAGCTGTGAAAGCTGGGGGTGATAGGGATATTATACAATCTCCTCTTGGGTTATTTCCACGTCCTTGGTCACCCTGTGCTGATACTTATGACGGTAGCCAATTTTCTAAAGTTGCTGAATATTTTCGGTTGCTTGGTCGTGTTATGGCAAAAGCTCTCCAAGATGGAAGGCTTTTGGATTTGCCTCTATCAGTTGCCTTTTATAAGCTTGTTCTTGGTCAAGTAAGTTAATATTGTCAATGTTAACTTTAGACGAAGAATTATTTAGTTCTATACCTTGATTTAATTAACAATTCATTTTTTATTAATTTCCGCAGGAGCTGGATTTGCATGATATCATTTCTTTTGATACTAAACTTGGGACTACCTTGCAAGAAATGCATGCCCTTGTGTGCCGGAAACAGTATTTGGAGTCAATGGGTAGTCGTAACCTAGACGATTTACGTTTTCATGGGGCTACAATAGAAGAGCTTTGTTTAGATTTCACCCTTCCAGGCTATCCTGAATATGTTCTCGAACAAGGCGACAAGAATGTACACCCTTTATCCTTGGAGTATACTGTCTACTTCTGTAGTTCTTTTCTTTTATTGGTTGTCCTCTGCTTGCGTTATTGTTACTTCTTGAACTCTTTTTACTCCATTGAAATTTGCAGGTAGACATAAACAGTTTGGAGGATTATATTTCCCGTGTGGTTGATGCAACTGTGGGAACTGGAATATTGCGGCAAATGGAAGCATTTAGATCTGGCTTTAATCAGGTTTGCTAATTTATTTGGTCCAAGTCAACTTTCAATGTGATTCCTTTTCAGCGTATTTCTGGTGTCTGATTGAATAGCATAATTTCCTACTATAGAACTGTCATTGCGTCATAGTTTTGTTTCATAATTTTTTACTAGAAGCTCTAGATCTATTGACGGAGAAACTCATTTTCAAGCTATGCTTATTATTCTTGATATGCTTGCCAACAAGTGGCTAGAAGATTTGGGTATAAGCTCTAGTTGGAGGATAGAAAATGATCTTTTCCTGTCATGTTCTGATTCTGTGCTTATCTTAATGTGAGCAAGAAAAACATCATATTTGTGTTTTATGATTTTTAGGTTTTTGACATTTCAACTCTACAAATATTTTCGCCAACTGAGTTGGACTATCTACTCTGTGGCCGCAGAGAGTTGTGGAAGGTAATGATTCCCTTGGACCTCCCCCCCCCCCCCCCCCCCCCAAAAAAAAAAACAACCGAACCACGCCTATCCTTGCTTCTTCCAATTGCTTTTTGGAAAATCTCTCTTTTAAGATTTGACATTTTCCGGAAATTCTCGTCATCAGCTACTTGAGATTATGGGGGAATTCACCCCCGAGCAGCAACTAGCTTTCTGCCAGTTTGTTACCGGTGCTCCCCGGCTTCCACCAGGTGGTCTGGCTGTACTGAATCCCAAGTTGACAATCGTTAGAAAGGTAAAATGCATTAAGCCCAATATAAAATGCGTCTAATAATAGGTATATGCTATCAATAATATAACAATACATGCATACCTTTGGAACAGCATTCTTCAAACACTGGCAACACAACACAAAATGGTTCTGGTCCATCTGAATCTGCGGATGATGACTTGCCAAGTGTCATGACATGTGCGAATTACTTGAAGCTTCCTCCCTACTCCTCCAAGGTACAGATTTGGTTGATGAAACTATCAGTTTAGCGTCTTGCTGCTTGTTACGTTTTATATGTGATATGAAGCATTTCTATATTGCGTGCCAGTAATGCAAGTAGACTAATAAAGCGTGCTTGCACTATTTAATAGGGAAAATTGTGGCATTGGTTCTGTTTAATTATTGTTACAAATCAGTCCCAAACAATAGAAAAGGAATCTCTTATTCAAATCATATCTAGCATGTCACATTCCCCGCTTCTAATTTCTGGGCGCTTAATGAAATTTAGCTTCAAAATTTGGACACCTGAGGGTTACATGACAATGTATGAAAATTGGACAAATTGTGTAATAAAGATGATGTGGAAGGTTGAGAATACCACCTGCCATTCTGCCAATAGTATGATGGGGATCAATAGTGCAATATTCCCTTATCTAACACGAAGTGCTTCCTAAGCAATCTGCTAAGTGATAGACAACCAATATCTGGTGACATTGCCCTTCTTTTCCTATCTAGTAATTACGGTTTTTGTTTCTTTGAACAGGAAATCATGTACAAGAAACTTCTGTATGCAATAAGCGAAGGGCAAGGATCTTTTGATTTGTCTTGAGTCTTCAAACTAATCAGCTGGATTTCCGATTTAGTATATCAGAAGCCTTACCTTCCAGGGTAACTGACAAAATGGCTAAGATAAGGATTCTTTGCACTGCCCTTCTTAACCTGTGAACATTGTAAAGTCAGTCCTCAAGATAGAAGTTGGAAGTTAGATTCTTTTCTCTTCTCAAAGCATTTACACAAGTTCCGACCATTGATGAACGACAAATTTTTAATATCATTTTATCATGATTTTGCTTTTAAATTAATGTTGGGAGTTCTCCTTCAGATTGATGGGTTGTCTTGTATTCTTGAAATGGCTTATGGGGAGGGATTTTTCGGTGGAGCTCTAGTGCCCGTGCTTCTAAATGCTTGGGATAATTACTTAACCCTATCTTACTTTTTGTTAGTAGATCTGTAAGGGCATATGTTTGTGCCTCTTTCCTTTGACATACACACGGTTGGTAACTAAAATGTTGGTAGGTAGACATTTTACAATTATGTCGATAATGAATCATGCATAGAATTGCATGAACAATTGACAGTTTGCATGAAATCACCACTGGCTTCTCGGCTTCTTTTTCTCGAGAATTTGATTGTGCAAATTTTAATTTTCCGGAGGCAAGGTATTGCTCACAATGATTTTATTGAAAATTTTGGAAAGATTAGAAAGTCACTGCAGCTTGTACAGAAGTTTTCATTGTTAGTCACATGTAGCACGGGGGACGAATCTTTTGCTGCTGAAGGCTAGCTAATCGTACACAGCAGGCTTGAAGACCTTTGGTCAACTTGGACAACTGGATTGCATACTTTCTGTTCAAAATTGGTTTTCCAAAAGAATAAAGCATATAATATAAAATCTACAATGCCTCTACATGTGCAGAAATGTATGATAGATTTCTTGACGGATTCTATCTTCATCCACATTTTTTATATATACATCTCACTCTAGGTTCATTCTTTATAAAATTTTTAAAAAATATATTATTTGCATTTTCGTTATATTCCAATTTTGTCATTATTAAACTCATTCATTTAAATATTATATATTCACGTGAATCTTATATATTCATCCCATTTTATATATCCTTAACGCTATAGATTCACACAATCCCTAAAACAATAAACTTTTTTAAACCAAATGAATGAAATAATAACAAAGTTGAACTTATTGAATATTAAGGGAAAATATATTATTCAGTTAATCATGTTAACAATGTTTGTTAGAAATTTTATCATTCTTATTCATAAAACTCAATTCATCAAAGGCAAACCATTATAAATCAACATCCAAATTAGGAGAATGTTTGTCTCTAGAGAAAGTATATTGAGTAACATTTGGAACTCATCATCTTTGGACTATGATTGATTTGCTTCAATCATTTTTTTGTGGTATGCTTAAATCCAAAATTGCAAGTACAAAAATATTACATATATGTTTAGATAAAAATGTTTAATATGTCTGAATTTCTTATTTTTTTAATTAGAAAAAAAATGCTTCACATTAATAGCAAGTGGAAAAATCACACACCAGACATAATTTGTAAATAGTGTATCAATGTGAATCAAAATTAGGCCCCAAATCTTTGCGGATAAATATAATATGATTAAGTAATTAAATAGTAGCGAACAAATCAAGTGATTGTTCAGACAATAGTAGTAGTGTTATCAGATAAAAAGTAATAATAATAGTAGTAGTGTTATCATTAATTGTTCTTATAGTTTATTCAAATCAATTATTTCGAATATAGCTACACCTTCTACTGAGGACCTAAAAAATTGCATTCTAGCATGATAGGGTGTAGCCCAACTTTCTGCACATGGATGATGATACTTGTACCAATTACAAGCAATAGGTAGCATTGGTCCACTAGTATGCTAATTTACATGTACACAATCACATAGAAAAACATAAGTAGAAATATCATTTAGTTAATTAAAAATTTAACTAATTTAATGGATATTTACTGAGACAAAATGGCAGTCATTGACCAATTGCAACAATCTTATGAGATGCGATTACAAGTGATTTATCCCAGAGTTGAAGAAATGTAAGATATTGTTATTGGCTCAAGTGAACAAGAATGATTTTATTTCTTGAAGCAATAACATGACCCATGTTCAGCAGGGTCATCCAATACCCACGACTCGCTGAACCATCAAAATGAGAAAGTGAATGAATCAACTCATGTACCATATCATCATTTCCATAGAATCTAGAGTAATCATCAAAATGAAATTCAAGCTCCTTTATTAGGTTTTTTTCTAACCTAAGACCAATTATCTTTACCTATACCTAGAATATTAGGCGCCGCTTGAAAATCACAATTGCCATTTGAGGCCACATCTTGCACATCAACTATGTAAGGTCTCAAATGAATAGTAAATGAATCAAAATAAGCCATGGACTTTGATCCACGTGCTCAGTACACCTTTTGTTTTTGTCGAATTGGGGCTGGTTTGATAATGTAGGTTGACTTAAACGTGTAATGGAAATGTCCAATTGTTGTAACATATTGCCCTGTCCAGATAGGACTAACTCAAAATACGATGGGTCTCGATGAGTAGATACATCTATCTTTGAAGATGGATGACCCTTTGTCTTATTCTGGACTTGTGGCTCAACTAATGATGTGGAACTCGGACTAGCAAATCTCTTTCAATTTTTGTAGGATTTCTACGTTCACACGATCATTATTATCTCAATAATGCTTCTTAATCATTTCAAATAATGATGCACAATTAATTTCAGATGTGTTACCTTTATCAAGAGGAATTAGATTAAGTTTCTTCTAGTGAGAGTGTATTCTTGATAAAGGAACGGGCCGAGATTCTATCTTATACTCTGAAATTTTATGGACACACGGTAATCCATGTGTTTGTCGTATAACACATCCACAAGCTACCTTCTCAATTCCTATGTCATCAGCTCGCTTAGGCTTTTGAAATATCAAACTCATTGCAATTCTTGATGTAAATCCCCTAAACTCTTCAAAAAAGGTAGGTTTGAAATTAAGCTAGATAGTACCCAAGCTCTTTTCAATGAAGCTTTAATATCTGTTTGTTGTAGCTCCAATAATGCATGAATTCTTGTCTATGATGTGTTAAAATTGCTTTGTGAAGAACCTAAATGCCTTTTAAGTTTTGCATGTGCAGATTCAGCCCTACCATAAAAAATAAATTAAATTCACTGTACATTAGCACATTCAATAAGCAGTTTAATAACGCTAATAACAATTTACTTGTTAGTTGTCGTATTTCCAAAGTGCATATGCAGATTAATCCAAGCTGCCACAAACTTCTCTTTATATTGAAGAAGCCATGAATTCATGACATAATCGATTGCTTGTGGAAACTGTTGAAAATTGGATTTTAAGAGATTTAGATTTTGCTTGCGCTCTTCTACAAATGTTGAAAGCACTAACAAATTCCACATATGCATAAAGACATCCCATTGGTCCTTATGATCGTCAATTTTATTTATTTATTTATCTTTTATTTTTGGTCAACACATTCTTTGAAATGTGCCATCCACATAAAATATTAGTAGATGTTGGAAATATTTTTTCAATGGCCTTCATAAGAGCTGTCTCTCTATTAGTAACAATAACACTAGGCATTATTATATCATTCATTAGACTCTTCAATCTCCCTAAAGCCCATGTGTACTTTTCTTCACTTTCTTTTTCCAAGTATGCAAAAGTGATCGAAAATGTTAAATCAGTAGAAGTGACACCTACTATTTCCAACAACAGTAGGCGATACCTATTTATCTTATATGTGCAATCAATAATTATCACACGAGGAAAAGTCCACAACAAATCTACTGAATATGGATGTGCCTAGAACAAATCTTGAACAATATTTGTCTCCATAGAGGTGTGGTGCCATTCTATGTACTTATTCTCAACAAGCCTATTCACTAGTTGTTGCATTTGTGTCCTTGTAGCTTGTTCTTTGAGCCTAAACTTACATGCGTCAATGTGCTGACATTTGTGTCATCATTTTGTTTCAATGTGTATATGATTTCCTTTAGTCTTACATGATTCTTAGACATGTCCACTAAAATTGAAGTCTCTTTCATGGTTAATCTCCCAGCATATGAATGTCCTTCAAGGTTCTGGGCAATGTCATGATTATGTTTCCCACAATTCACTTTCAATATCCAATAATCACTATTTATCAATTTTCTTCCATTCAAAGCTAATGGGCATCCACACTTTTTTGTTCCAGTAGCACCATGTCTCTTTCCTTTTTCATTTTCTTTGTTAGTATTCCTGCATGTATACGAACCATATCTTTCACATGCAAAATCAATTCTTGGTTTTCTCCCAACTTGGCCGAAGTTGAACTGTTTCATAACAACAATCATGTTATGTCTCTTACTAGTAGTTTTAATCCAATCAATCAAGACCTCTTTACTTGTAAACATCTGTTTATCATCAAATATTCGTATATAAATATATGATCATATTAAAAAAATAAAATCATTACGTACCATGTTTGTCGTAAACGTATCTGTATAATCAACAACTAACAGATTCTGGATATCATAGTTATAGGTTGATATATCCCACATTAAAAATATAGTTTCAAATAATGTCATTGAAATAAATTTAACAATAAATAAGCTAACAACTAAAACATCGGTTAAGTATGCTAAATAGCAAACGAATTGGGACTTTTCTAAATACTTGTGAAAAAAAAAAACTACTACAATTGAGAGCAGGAAGAAAAAAAGGAATTATGAAGATCTTTGAAGATAAAGAGACAATTTGCAAATCCATAACATCTCATGATCAAGAAAATTCTTCCCATTTCATTTTATTTCAATTTTGCAACTACTTCGTCAAACAATTCCATATGATGAAATTCTAACATTGCAACAATTATTCAAAACTCCATCCAAATCTCTGCATCCTTTCTATTAATAGAAGACCATCATTCAAGATTTACCAATATTTTACCAAAACATCCATTTTGAGGGCGTAATTGATAAGTAAAGGCCTTTCAAATTTAAAATATGGTCCTAACCCACATCAAATAGTCATATTCTTAAGACAATCTTAAAACCAAGATGAAAAAAAATAAAATCTAAAACTCATTAATGTCTTAATGCATTAGGAAAAAAATCAAACAACAAAACACGATATAAAGGTAATTCTTAATTTTTCAAATTTCTTTTCATATATTGTTATATCTGGATATTTTTGTTCTAATGGCATCTCTTCCATTGTTCACTAAATTCTTTGTCTATTGAAGTTCTGAGTATTATAATGCTTCGAAAAACAAAGGCTAAAAAAAGAAAGAAAAAGAAAGTTCAATTACGCAAGCCAAATTTTACCAAGTTTGTATGCTGCAGATATTGAAGACCTCTAATCAGAAAATATTTGGCTAATATTTCAAAATTTTGGCCACCATGGAAATTCCATAGATCTCACCTTAAAACATTAATATTGTCTTTTAGCTAATCTTCATTAATACACTTGAATTTGGGGCCACCCATCACCTATAATTATATTAATGTAATTTTTCCTAATCTATTAGGATTCTAGTTAA